AAATAGCTAAGGGAGGCTCAGAGGGAGAGATCCAGAAACTTCTGTACCATTTGAGACTTAGGCAGGCGCTGGGGGTTGGGGGAGCAACCTGAGGCTGGCTGCTCCTGCCAAGATGCTCTGGAACAGTTCCCCTGGGTCCTAGAGGGTCGCCGTGAGTCGTGTTACCCTCCATGGCAGTGCTCCTGGTTCAGCCACTACCTGTGTGCTGCTTGAGAGGGAAGCTTGTAGACGAAGTCAGACTAGGAAGAAAGGGCTGGTCATCTACTTCCCAAAATGGGTCAGTGAAACTTACTGTATCATCAGTCCTGTTCCTTATGCCATAAGTCACCATGGGTCAGGGACAGACTCAAAATAGCTAACAACAAGGCCATGGTGGGATTGGAACCTGAGTAGCCTACATAATAGAGCCTGGTTCTTAGCCACTTACTTGAACAAAATAACTTCACTGGCCATTTTCCCTGCTAGAAAAACTCGTTAAATTTCATGTGATCTCTTTTGACTATTTAGTGAAACTTAATAGTCAAGATTTAAATGCTGCTCTTGGGGGTCGTTTTTGTTAGTTCCAACTCAGAGCCACCCTATGTACAAGAGAAGGAAACACCTGGTCCTGCGCCATCCTCACGATTGTTCTTACGTTTGACCCTGTTATTACTATTATTATTTTTAATACTTTTACTGGGGGCTCTGACCTCTTACCACAATCCATACATGCATCCAGTGTGTCAAGCACATCTACACATATGCCGCCATCATCACTTTCAAAGCATTCTCTTCCCACTTGAGCCCCTGATATCAGCTCCCCATTTCTTCCCCTTCCCTCCCCCGCTCATCCTCCCTTACGAACCCTTGATAAGTTATAGATTGTTTTTTCCATATCTTACATCATCCTCCTTCGCCCCTCACCTACTTTTCCATTGTTCATTCCCCTGAGAGAGGTTATAGATTGATCCTTGTGATCAATTCCCCCTTTTCTCCAACCACCCTCCCCTAATCCTCCTGCTTCCTCTACTCTCATTGTTCGCCCTGAGGGGTTTATCTATCCTGGATTCCCTGTGTTGCAGGCTCATGTCTGTAGCAGTGTGCATGTTCTGGTTTAATCCGACTTGTAAGGTAGAATTGAGGTCATGATAGTGGGGGGAAGGAAGCACCAAAGAACTAGAGGAAAGTTGTGTGTTATACTGCACTCTGACTGGCTCATTTCTTCCTTGTGAGCCCTCTGTAGGGAGATGTCCAATTGTCTACAGATGGACATTGGGTCGCCACCCCGCCCCCATTCTTTGGCCCCATTATTGAAGCCAGTGTTCCGTATTCTTGAAGGCCTTCTCTTTGACACTGCCCTCACACTTTACCAGACATGATGAGCATCGTGGGAAAGTATAAATCTATTGTTCACTCCCGTGTCTTAACCTATTTGTAGATGCTAACAAGGGAGCTGTGTGGTGCACTGGTTAAGCACTTGACTGCTGGATGAAAGGTCACTGGTTCAAACTCACCAGTACCTCTGAGAGAGAGGTGTGGCAGTCTGCCTTTAAAGCCCAGTGGGTCAGTTTTATTGTACTAGCCTATATATTGATCATTATAAGTTGGTATTAGCTCTGGCACAAATCAACAGGTGCTGAACAGGGAATGTGCAAAAGGGAAGTCAAGATGCCGTTCTTGTCCTGAAGGAACTAGCAGTCTGGGGAGGGTGGGGGTGGTGACTGCTGAATAGTAGGAAATGAAAAGTGACCCTGGGCAGCAGTCTGAAGCCACTGTTCAAAGTGGACACATTCAGCCCAGAAGCATATTTTATTAGATAAGGGGAATCTGTCTGCTTTTGTTGCCTTGTGGGGAGTTTTGTTGTATACGCTGTACGCCCGTGTGGGAGTAATTAACCTTCCCCCTTTGAGCAACCAAGCCGAAGTCAGTGGTTCGAACCCACCAGTCACTTGGAAAGAGGAGGCTGTTTGCACCTGTGAATTTTAAAAATCAGAAACATAAAGGGAGTCGACTTGATGGCAGTGAGAGATAGACTGTAGTAAAAATAGATTGTAATGCTACTGATCATTGTGATGTGTTTCCTTTCAGTGTTTTTTTATAAGCAGAAGCCTTATTTCTTAGTGTAACAGAAGATGATTTTGCCTTCTCTTTCCCCTCCCCTACATCAACATTTGTTCACATAAACGTTTATCTATGTAATACTGCCAGAGGAAGTCTTCGTGGGTACTGATAGCTGATTAGTGATTTGGTTCAATATTTCAATGCTATCTTTTTAACTTATCTCTAGTGTTTTGCTTTTTTCCCCCCTAGTTGTTTTCCAGTGTTTATAAGTTTTACAAAGCCAGCTCTATCAATTCTGTTTGATATTTGGAAAGGATTCCATACATTTAATTTAGAAACTTCTGTGGTACTTCCAATGACTTTGATCCAAAAGGAGTTTATTTATTTGTAGGCTTAAAAAGCTATTGCAACACTATACAATCTTTTATGTGTATGTTTACCATGAAATTAAATTCTCATCCCTGTTCTGGTCTGTATCTAAAAAGTAAGAATGTTTTCAATGCCTCTTATGTTAACAGGGCACCAGGTGATTCAGTAGTTAGAACACTCAGCTACTAACCAAGAGTTTCAAATTCATCATTGCTCCTTGCAAGAAAGACTTGCAGCCTTATAAACCCTAATTTGGGGAGGAGGAGAGGAAGGGGGAACCAATGTTGGATGCATAACCCCCCCTGGGGGGGAATAAACAGCAGAAATGTGGGTGAAGGGAGATATCAGCCGGTGTAAGATATGAAAACAATAATTTATCATTTATTAAGGGGTCACGAGGGTGGGGAAAAGAGCTTGATACCAAGGGCTCAAATAGAAAGTAAATGTTTAGAAAATGATGGCGACATATGCACAAATGTGTGATACAGGTGATTTCTGGAATGTTATAAGAGCTGTAAGAGCTCCCAATAAAATGATTTAAAAACAAAGGAAACCCTAATTCTACTCTGTCCTACAGACTTGCTATGAGTTGGGATTGACTTGGAAGCTATAGGTTTGGTTTGGGTTTAATTATGTTAATGGTTTTGTTGACTACATCTCATTTGCATGGTTTATGGCTCAATCTATGAATTCTCTGAAAATTGTAAGATAATTACTGTATTCGTCACTGATTCTCTCAGAATATGCATCTGTTTGAAAATGTAGTCTTTTTTTTTTAAGGTGCTGTAAGTAGAATTCTTGGGAACCTGCTTTATAAAGCATGTCTTGAGCTGGAAAAAAAGTTTTTGCTTAATTCCAACTGGAAAAAAAAATCAATGAGAACAGTAGACTTGGTGGTGTAAGATGCTGATGAATAGTGTAAAATGCCAGTTCATTAGGAAAGCGTTAATTTTCTCTTTCTGTTTTCAGAGACGTCTCGGAGCTGACAGGGTTTCCGGAAATGTTAGGGGGCCGGGTGAAAACCCTGCATCCCGCAGTCCACGCAGGTAGGTTGTTGGTTGCTTCCGTTGAAAACAGCAGTTTTGTGGATTGGTTTGCTAGTGGCTACAGAGGCTACGTGAGGTGTGGATAAAGGTTCACCTGTCTTTATCTATGAGGGCAGAGTCATCTCCTCACATACACTGCTCCAGCGTGTCCCTCTTTGGAACCTGTTTTAGCTGCGGTTTACTTTATTATTGGATGGTGCCAGATAGTCCCGACCTTTGCTAACCGTTTTAGGGCATGGTATTCCCACGGCAGTTATTCAAACTATTTACATTGTGCAGTGTGAAAAGACTTCTTTGGTAATTTAAATGTACCCATATGCCTCACAGTGTAACACACACTCAAAGAGAATTGTTGAACCAAGTTTTTTGTTTCTGCTCATTCATCTGAGACAGCAAAGTGCAGGTAAACTAGTAACAAGAAAGAAATACAGTGTTCACTTATTACCACTTTTAGTACAAGTAGGCGGATAAAAAGTTCAGATTCAGACATGAAAAAAGTAATAATAATTTGTAAATTATCAAGGGTTCATGAGAGAGAGAGGAAAAGGGGGAAAATGAGCTGATACC